TATGATATGCTAGAACTTCAGAAAAGGTAATACAGCCATTCTTTTATAAGATTCCTAACCAAATGCCTGGAACATATTGGGGGCTTAATGAATATTTGATGAATGAACAACTATGTGAATAAATACTAGCTATGATTGGAATCTGGGTGTCTTGAAATGTCTTCTATCTTTAGCTGTGCAACTGTAGCCCTTATATAGAGATTTTTCCCCCTAATTTCATTCTCAAATTATAATCTTAAAGTTTTAGAGGTACCTTGAAGGTATGAGATATTTTTGGAAAGTACAGTGTCAAAACTTAACCAATAAATTCTATTCTGGTCTATTCATTCTCTCTCTGGTGATTCCTATACATGAGGTGTTACTCTACTATTAACAAAATATAGGCCCAAGGCATAAAACAGCATTGCCTATGCTTAAAAGCATAATACCATTTCCAATAATGCCAAAATTATTCCCTAAGGGTGTTCATCATGTATATACTATCTTGTAAATTTCATTTGAAGTGTAGTGTCATGTTTAATTGAAGTTTATAGACTCTACTGTGACTACCATTTACTCATGAAAACCAAGGAGGAAAAAAGCATTATGACAAAGAAATAACTCCTATTCAAATGTCTGGGGGATTTGGAAGAGTTAAACTATTTCATTGTTAAATGCTTTATTTAAAATATGGCTGATATCCATAGCAAATATGAGTTTAAACTACAGTATTTTTTCCTGTTAAAAAAAAAATCTCCTTTTTTTCCTTCCAAGAAATTGGTGTCAGATCCCCAAACTTCTCTTTCTATGCTTCAGTCCTATTCTACTTTCTGAGCTAAAAAGAAAGAAGGCAGGAAAGGTCATGTGAGACAGTTCAATGATGATGATACGTTTTCTGAGTGATTGGACATGGCTAATTTGTACATCATTGTACTCAGGGCCACACACTGCACAGTGCAATCTTTTAGACCTTGCCCTAAAATCACCTCATCAGCAAGATGAGCAGTTTAACTAGCACTAAAATTCTACACCTAGTGGGTTTAGTCCCGTCTCACATCAAACCACTTTTCATTTTCTCAGAAATCCTGATGAAGCTTCTGGACTTAAAAGCAACACATCTTTTGCTTTCTGAATGACTTCAGCTCTGAGACTCTTACCAAACAGGTTTGAAGAGGGGGAAAAATACCTCCTTTTCCTCATACAAGTAAGAACATCTAGAAATAGACGCTGAGTGTTTGACAAGAGAAATGATATCACAGAAGAATTATTCTTTTGACGCATTTTCAGCCACTTTGCATCATGTAAATAGTAGTTGTTTATCACCTCTCTGGCACTCATAAAAGAAGCTTCATGAGGTTAATTAATATTACTACAGGCAACCCCTAAGCTCTATGCCTTGCAATTGCTATTGGCTGGGGCACAGAAAAGCAACATCTGCCAGGAAATATTTATTTATTCAATAGGTTTTCTAGAACCCATCACTATAATCCCTTCCCACAAAAGTGAAAAACTCCAGTAGCATAATTCATTTGCAGGTTGTGACACTAAATTGAACAATTGTTCTTACTCCCCAAATAGCAGTTGCCTTGTCATTTGAATGAGTTTAAAATGAAAAAGCAAAACATGGGCTATCTCTTCTCCAACCTGTGATGGATACTTCTTCCTGCCAGAATGCACCCAAAACATTGACTCCTTTATAGTTTCAACCTATGCATCAAATGTGGTCCAATTGTGCTACAACTTAGCACACCCACCATTTGTCATTGGCCCAAAAGGAGTAGGCATTTTTAAGTTAATTACATAAATAAATAAAGGAAATGCCATAAGCTGAATGTTAGCTTAATGATTCATTTTTCTTCAGTTTTTTAGATATTGTCTCCCCCTTTGCAGTCTACTTTAATAATTCCAGTTATAAATATTGCATGCTCTTCTCCAGTTAATTATTTATGTTGATGAAACGTGGCACTTACTGTGCCCTTCTAGGATTCCAAGTTGAACATGGTTCCCAGCTACTGCACAGAAATAGAGGAAATAGAGCTCATGGAAGGTTTTGGGCTGTGGAAAATATTTTAGAGGTTTTTTTTTTTAAGTTAAACATTTCCCAATCCATTTTTTCCTACAAAGTAATTCAATGTGTCACAACCATTCCTATTCTATGAATGTCACTTCGTATATATATAAAAAATCTCTTATAGCCTCTTACAATTGAGACTTCCAAATTTTCAAAGTCCAGACCATGCTACAAGCACTTATCAACTTATAGTGAATGACTTAGGACTATAAAAACTGAAAGTTTTGGAATCTTTTTGTTTTTAGTATTAAAATGTTTTCAATCAGAATCTCTGGTTACCAGGAACAACCCTATGAGAAACAGTCTTCCCAAAATCCTGGACCAGCTTTAGAGAACAGGAATCCTGTTTCTTTATTGACAAAAAGGAGGAAATTTGGGGTGAACAAGTTTGGAAGACTATTGTTTTATGCCTTCTCTTCTTAACATGTCTATTAATAAATAACTAGATTGATTTCTGGCGAGTTTGAGGTCTAGCTTTCTAAGACAATATACTAAAGAATGAAATGGCTAAAAATGAGCTTTAGTAAAAAAAAAGGAAGCTAAAAGCATGGATATTCCACTCACTGTAAATTGAATCTCTGCATACTGTAAGAATTATTGACAGGGGCAGATGGCTTGGGTGACCTTTTTAAGAAAAAGAGTACAAGATTAGATACAAAATGAATATTATTTAGAATGAGAAAAAGTACAACAATATCAATTTTTAAAAGTTAACGAGTAGACATTCCAAAAGCCCACAACATTTTATTAATTAATGATCTGATAAATCTTCCATGTTTCTATTTCTTACAATTTTTTTGGCTATGTACTCTTTGATCACCTCTTCATATAACAATGATTTGTTCATAGATTAATTTAGCTTTTCCTCTAACATGAGTAATGGATATTTAAATTTTATTATTGAGCATTTAGAAATGTTTCTTTCACATTCAAACTTGTTTTTAATTATTTCAATGTCAACTTTTATGATCACTATCAAATTTGAGACAAATTCTAATATATATCATATATATATATATATTTATATGTGCTATGCAGTTTAGAAAAATTCTCTGCAGGCAATCTTCTGCTTCTGCTTCAGCTCATTTTAAATCTTGTTTCTCTTCTGTATCCATCATGGTTCTCCAGAGAGACAGAACCAATAGGATGTGTAGAGACACATATGAGAGGGGATTTATCTGGGGAATTGGCTTATACGATTGTGGAGGCTAAGAAGTCCCACAATAGACCATCTGTAAGCCAGAGACCCCAGGATGCTGTTAGACTGCTCAGCCCAAGACTGAAGGCCTCAGAACCTGGGCAGTTGATACTGTAGCTCTAAGTCTGAGGCCAAAGCCCTGAGAATCTGGAAGGCCACTAGTGTGAGTCCTGGAGTCCAAACACCAGAAAACCTTCAGTTCTGATGTCCAAGAAGAGAAAAGAAGAATGCATCACAGCTCCAAGAAAGAGGGAAATTTCCTCTTGGTTCTATCCAGGCCCTAAGCTGATTGGATGATGCCTGGCCACATGGAGGGTACATTTCCCTACTCAGTCCATTGACTCACATGCCAGTCTCCTCTGGAACCACCCTTATAGACACACCTGAAAATAATCCTTTACCCATTTTCAGTAATCCTTAATCTAGTCAAGTTGACACCTAAAATCAACAACCTCTATTCCCTAAATACTTCTGCTGCAGGGTATCTTCTGCTGCATATTGGAGGGAAGGACTATGAAGTTATTCTTATACTAGCACAGCTAACATTAACTTAATTACAAACAAAAGAAACCATAAACCACTGAATTCTATCCCACAAAAGCAAATCAAAACATATCCTCAACTAAACTTTGATTTAGCAAGACTTTATATAAATACCCATGGTCACTACAAGATACTGTATGTGACCAAAAGGCTCTAAAACTCGACTTCATTAGCTTTGTGGTAAATTATAATTATCTGATTATTTCCTGGGAAGGAAACAAAAAATGAGTATTAATATCAACAAAATACAAACACTTTTCTGTGAGCTTGGCCTTCTGGAGGACAAATATGGCAGGTGCTATTATATTCATTATTTGAAATCCAGTCAAACTACATGAATAATGGAAGATAAAGAATATTTTTAAACATATGTGGTAAGCCATAATTAAGAAACTGATGGCACATTCACTATTTTGAAATTTTCAAAGGACTTATATAATTTCTTTAATCCATCCAAGAGATTAGCTAAATTATCTCAGTGTTATGATTAGGTTGATAAATCTGAGAAACAGAACAAGTGGAGAAGCAATTTCTGTCTGCAAGCAATGAAAATACCATTTCCTCTCATACTGTCCATTTCTCACATGAAGGGTAATTTTGAAAGAGCCATTTCCTAAAAGTTCCCTCTCAGTCTTTTTAAACTTTGTTCCTTTGTACTCTAGATGGAGCACTTCACCTTCTGCTTTCACTTTTTGTTTCATCAAGACTGAATTAGAATCATGGAGGATTTAGAAAAGGCTTTCTTTAGAAGGTTTTATTGGTGGTCTTCAAAAATAATGAAAGGATTTTAACTATCTCATGCAAAATGGCTTCTTCTCTCCATGTTGCCATGTTTGTGTGTTGTAATGATTACATTTCCAAAGCACGTTTGGTCTTGTCTTTCTGGTTCATAGCGTAAGAAATGACTGTGTTGCTTAGTTCTTTATTACTTAAGTGGTCGAAGAACACTTCTTTAAAAGGGTTTAAAAAATAGAACCAACAATCGTGAGTGAAATTGGCAAGCCTTGTCATCATTAACCCATGCAGTTAGCATATGTGCGTGCCCATGGTAATGTCCAGGTTGGTACTAAATTTAATGTCAAGGCTGAATGTTCCAGGAGCAAATATTTTCAGCAGATTTGCAGTGGTCTTTCTTTCTTTCTTTCTTTCTTTCTTTCTTTCTTTCTTTCTTTCTTTCTTTCTTTTAAATTGGATTTCAGAATCCTGTAAATTCCCAGTGATAAGATAATATGATTCCTTGTTTCTAGGAACATTGAATAAAAGAAAAATTAGAGCAGAAGTATCTGAATATTTTGCATTAGCAAGCAAACTAGCATTATAAAAACACAAAGCTTTTTAAATTCAAAACTATAAAGATTACATATAACTAATGACCCATTTTACTTGATGAAAATAAAAGATCTAAAAAAAAAAAATGATTCATATGGCCATACCATAAAGTAACTTAGGATTTATAGTACTTAAAAATAATTATTAATGCTTTGGCTAAATTTTTCAGCCTTTTATGTGTTTTGTGCTGAAAGAATGACTTATTTCTTAAATATAAAAGTGAAATGGATACTTTCCCTAGTGCATTTCTTCTGAGATCCTGGGGACAAGCCAGCTTTACATGCAGTAAATTACATTGGTAAGTACTGCCAATGTAAGTCTAATCAACTCAGCCATATAAAATACACCAACACCCTTTTCCAAACAGAACTGAGATGCAGCAAAATAGCCATGATCAGTGTGTTCTGCTCCCTAAAGTAAAATAGCCATGAGGGCTTCTGGCTTTGAAAGAAGCCAGGTTTGCCCTTACATGTTTTTTATAAGGCTATGAATGCATTTATCTAAGGTAATTTTTTTGGCTGAGGTCAACTAAAAAACAATGCCTTTTTAAAACATTGATCAATCGTATTAAAACTGGATGGCTTCTCTGACCCTCCAGGCACTGAAACTAGTCCCCTGGGCTCCTTCCTGTAGCACCCCAAGCACAGGCACACCACAGCACTTCACTCTCAGTGCAGGCATACCTCATTTTATTGCATTTCTCTTTATTGCACTCCCAGATACTGCATTTTTTACACACTGAAGATTTGCAGTAACCTTGTGTCAAGATAGTCTATCAGTGCCATTTTTCCAAGAGCATGTGCTCACTTCATGTCTCTGTGTCACATTTTGCTAATTCATGCAATATTTCAAATATTTTCATTATTATAATATATATAATGGTGATCTGTGGTTATTGAGCTTTGATGTTATTATTGTAATTGTTTTGGAGAAGCACAAACCATGCCCATATAAGACATTGAACTTAACTGATAAAATGTGTGTGTTTTGACTACTCCCATGACCCAGTCTCTCCCTATCTCCCTCCCACTCCTTGGACCTCCTTACTTCTTGAGACAACAATATTGAAATTATGTCAGTTACTAACCCTATAATGTCCTGTAAATGTTCAAGTGAAAAAAAAAAAAGTCATATGTCTCTTTCTTTAAATCAAAAGCTAGAAATTATTAAGCTCAGCATGTTGAAAGCCAAGATAGACTAAAAGCTACTCCTTTTGCACCAGTTAGCCAAGTTGTAAATATGAAGACAAAGTTCTTAAAGAAAATTAAAAGTGTATACACAAATGATAAGAAGTGAAACAGCCTTTATTGATGACATGGGGAAAGTTTCAGTGGTCTGGATAGAAGAATAAACAACCACAATATTACTTTAAGCCAGAGCTTAATCCAGAACCAGGCCCTAACGCTCTTCAATTCTATGAAAGCTGAGAGAGGTGAGGAAGATACAGAAGTAAAATTTCAAGCTAACAGAGTTTGGTTCATGAGGTTTAAAGATGTTGTCTCCATAACATATAAAGTACAAGATGAAGTAGTAAGTGGTGATATAGAAGCTCCAGCAGCAAGTTTTAAGGAATATCTAGCTAAGATAGTTGATGAAGGTAGCTACATTAAACAACATATTTCCAAGGTAGATAAAACAGCCTTCTGTCAGAAGATGCCATGTAGGACTTTGAAAGCTAGAGGGGAGAAGCTAATGCTCAGTTTCAAACTTCAAAAGACAAGTTGACTCTCTTAAAGGCTAATGCATATGGTGACTTTAAATTAAAGCCAATGTTCACCTACCATTCCAAAAATTCTTAGACCTTTAAAAATTAGGCTAAATGTACTCTACCTGTGCTCTAGAAATGAAACAACAAAGCCTGGATGATAGTACATCTGTTTACAGCATGTAAACAGCTCAATATTTTAAGCTCGCTGTTGAGACTTGCTACTCAGGAAAAAACATTTCTTTTAAAATATTACTGATCATTGACAATGCAGCTGGTAACCCAAGAGCTCTGATGGAGATATATAAGGAGATTAATTTTTTCAGGCCTGCTAACACAACATCCATTCTTCACCCCATGAATCAAGAAGTAATTTTGACTTTCAAGGCTTATTATTTAAAAAATAACATTTCATAAGGTTATAACTGCCACAGATAGTGATTCCTCTGATGGATCTGGATAAAGTACATTGAAAATTTTCCAGAAAGTGTTCACCATTTTAGATGCTGTCAAGGACATTTTTGATCAATGGAAGGAGGTCAAAAAAAAATCAAGATTAACAGGAGCTTAGAAGAAGTTTATTCTAACCCTCATGAATGACTTTGAGGGATTCAAGACTTCAGTAGAGGGAGTAATTATATATGTAGTAGAAATAGCAAGAGAACTAGAATTAGGAGTAGGGCCTGAAGATATGACTGAATTGCTGCAATCTCATGATAAAACATGAATGGATGAAAAATTGCTTCTCATGGATGAGCAAAGAAAATGGTTTCTTGAGAGGGAATCTATTAATACTTACTCCTGGTGGAGATGATGTGAACGCTGTTAAAATGGCAACAAAGGATATAGACTATGACAAGGTTTGAGAGGATTCTTCAATTTTGAAAGATATTCAACTGTGGGTAAAAATGCTATCAAACAACATCACATGCTACAGAGAAAATTTTAGTGAGAGAGTCAATCGATGCAATAAACTTCATTGTTGTCTTATTTTAAGAAATGCTACCACCATCCCAATCTTTAGCAACCACCATCCTAACTAGTCAGCAGCCATCAACGCTGATGCAAGACCCTCTACTAGGAAAAAGATTACGACTCACTGAAGTTCAGATGATTGTTAGCATTTAAACAAGAATGTTAGCAAGAAAGTGGTTTTTAATTAAGGTATGTACATTTTTTTAAACATAATACTATTACTTAATAGATTACAGTATAGTGGAAATATTACTTTTATATACACTGGGATACCAAAAAATTTGTGTGACAATTTTTATTGTGATATTTGCTTTGTTGTGGTAATCTGGAACTGAATTCAATATCTCCGGGGTATTCCTGTATTGCAATTGCCTGTTTACTTGTCTGTCTCTCTCTGGTCCTATACTAAAGTGGGAGATAATCAAAGGCAGATAACGTGTCTTGTTTATCTTTATTTCACCAGTGCAGGGTCTGCGGAAAGCACTCATTAAATGTTTATTAGATGGATGGATGGATAAAGAGCAGGTGGATGAATAAAAGCAAAATCATCCAGAGATAGTCAAGGTTTTAGAAGCAAATAATATTCATTTTTTTATAGATGTAGCTGCACATATATTTAAACAAGTGACAAATAACTCCCAAAATGCTTGAAAGACTATGTCTCAAACAAGCAAGAAATTTCTAAAGTTTCTACTGCCAGAAAAGGACACTTTGAGGAAAGGCAATATAAAACAATACTTCTAAGTTCCATGAATAACAGCTATGTAAATTCTAGTATGAATCCACAATGACTGAGTGTCTCCCATCCACCAATATAGTATTAATTGTTTCTCATGCATTTATGTTTCACAACTCTTCTATACTTGTTTGCTAATAAGGAAACTGAGGCAACAGACAGTTTCTCTAATCTCCCTAAGGTAACAGAGTAAGTGGAAGAGCTAGGACTTGGATTCAGACACAGTGATGGCAGTTTGTGTGCTTAATCACTAGGCTATATTGAGAGACTAAAGGAAGTATCAAATTTGACTCACCGAGTATTTTCTGAATGTCAGCCTGAATTAATGACAATGAAAAGAAAATTATTTCAGGAGAGGAAAAAAATGCATTGATTTCAATGATTTCCATTAATTGAAAAATGAACTTGTTGAAATACCATGGTGTCACTTGATACTACTTTATAGCAATACTCAGAATAGATTTGCCTGAGAAAATTCATAAATTATAATCATTGTACAAAGATAGAAGACATTTCAGGCCAAGGATAACAAACAGGTTTCAACTTCTGTGCCAATGCAGGAACTTCCTAGGGATAAATGCTGAAAACCCCAATGTGGAGAAACCCACAGCCAACCAGCACTGCGGGCTGGGAATGCACAAGAACCCTGCCACTGGACAAGCACCACGCACATGCTCTCCTCCTCAGGGCGGCATTGTTGGTGTACATCCCTAGCACAGAGGTTCTTAAATCAGACTGTATATTAGAATAACCTGTGGAGCTTTTCTAAAATACATGTAACAGGGAAAGACAATCCTTGACTTCCATAAGCTTATGGTCTTGAGAGGAAAATCATATAGGGATCTTGTAGTGCACAACAAAAACAAAAAATATCTTCCCATGTCTTCATGAGTTAGGTGAACACCTTCTCTTAGTCCATTTTAGCTGCCATAAAAAATACCTACTACTGGGTAATTTATTAAGAACAGAAGTTTATTCCTCACAGTTTTATAGGCTGGGAAGTTCAAGATCAAGGCTTCAGCAGGTTTGGTGTCTGATTAGAGGTTGCTTCAACCATGGTGTTTCTCTCAGCAATCTCACATGGAAAGGGGAGAAGGGCAAAAATCTTTGAATGCAGGGTGAATCCTTTTTTATAAGGTATTAATCCCATTGAGAAGACTTCATCATCTCCTTGAAGGTCCCAACTCTTACTACTATCATATTGGCAATTTAGTTTCAACATATGAATTTTGTGGAGACACAGTCAGACCATAGCACACTTCAGGAGTAAAGACTTGAAAATATTTCTAATTGAAGTCATACATTCATTTCTATGAAATTAAATATTTGACCTCCTTTAGGTAACAATGCAATATGTAATTTGATAGAGACACTGAAAATATATACAAGCTGTAATAAAAATTTAATTCTTAAAATATATTTTAATATATAAATTATTAGAAAATAGACAATAAAATGAAGATAGGGAACAAAACAAACCAGGAAATATGGTCCTGTA